GGATATTTTCCCATTGATTTTTAGAGAGCATGGAAGAGAGAGGGAAAGACAAAGAGAAACATCAATGTGAGAGGGACACATCGATTGGTTGCCTCCTGCATGAGCCCTGACCTGGGCCCACAGCACAGCAGCCCCTGCAGCCTCTGCTGATCCGGCTCTGCCTCACTCCCTGGGCCCCGCTCCCTGCTGGTTCGGCCCTGCCTTGCTCCCCAAGCCCCAAAGCCTGCTTGTCTGGCCCTGCCTCACTCCCTGGACCTCTGGACCCTGCAGCCTGCTGCCCCAGCCCTGCCTTGCTCCCCAGGCCCCGCAGCAGCTGAGGCCGCTGCTGGTCCAGCCCTGCCTCCCTCTCTGGCCCTTGAAGCAGCCGCGGCCGCTACTGATCAGGCCCTCCCCCAGTGCAGGCGCACGGAGGCCCCTGCCGCCCCGTCCCCGATGCTGCCCACACAACCTCCTGTCCAGTCGGCCCGTTATGGCGTCCCGGTTAATTAGCATATTTCTCTTTTTGGGTACGTTCTGGTTAATTCATCCTTATTGTACAGAAAAAAAAATTACTTTTTTATCAAGTTTTCCAAAGACAGAGTAGATCACAAAGCTTAAGGAATTGAATATTCTTGCAAGGGAGTATATAACTTCAAAATGATTGGCCCTTTCTAGAAGAAAACAGCTAGGAATTAAGTTCAACCACTTGAAATTGTTTTTACAATAATCAAAACATTCAAAACCTCAAGGCTCAGGATCCCATAGATCAGAGCCTACCTTTTTTGATAAACTTAGTTAAGTTTTAGCGAGTAGAAACGAGATGGTTTGTGACACATATGCTTCCTAAAAACTAGAATAGATTTTTACTAAATAGTGGTATATCTGATGGTATATGTTTCTTAAAGGTCCAAATGTAATAAATAAAAGGAAAAACAAAACAAAACAAAAAAAAAGTTCTCATCCCACAAATCTCTCCTTAGTCCATGCAGTTCACATGAGCTCTGTTCACATTTGACAATGCTTCACTACTTTGCATTTTGCTTTTTCTCCCAGTACCTGGCAGATCGCCTGGATCACAATAGGCTCCTTTGAGAGTATTAGCTGATTTGACGTGAGATGTTCCTTAAACAGTAGACCAAGATATGTACATTACACACATGGTTTGTGTTGGGTTGAGATAATTCCTGTTACCTTCAAAATAGTTTTTGAAATAATAATTATGATTTATATCTCTAAGCTAAGGGAATGTACCAGTAAACATTGATCTGACTTAAAAAATTCAAAGTTCTTCTCTCAAGGACAGTTTCTGTAGAACTCCAACTCAAGTGAAGTGGAAAGAAAGGCAGATTCTTGTGTTTATTTATTATGTTTTTACGGATTTATACATTTTTATTTATTTTTAAAAATATTTTTTATTGATTTCAGAGAGGAAGGAAGCAGGAGAGAGAGATAGAAACATTAATGATGAGAGAGAATCATTGATTGGCTGCCTCCTGCATGCCCCACACCAGAGGAATCGAGCCTGCAACCCGGGCACATGCCCTGACCGGGAATCAAACCGTGACCTCCCGGTTTATAGCTCGACATTCGACCACTGAGCCACACCAGCTGGGCATCATTTATGCATTTTTATTGGACAAACATAGACACATAAAAGTGGACATAACAACTGTAAAACTTAATGAATTATTATGAGGTCAACACCCTTTTAAATGACACCCAAGTAAAGAAATAGGATTTTGCCAGTCATCTAAGAAGTCCCAATGTCTACCAAAAGACTCATTCCAACCTTAGTCACATATCCTCTCTTCCCATAGGCCTTTTATAGTAATCACTTCTATTTCTTTATAATTTTATCACTCAACTGTGCATCCTTAAACCCTATAGTTTAGTTTTGCCTGTTTTTAAAAAGACACTTATGTGTAATAAGTGTCTTTTTATCTAAAGGACCTACCCCCCCCTCCCGCTTCATCTTTGCCTTTTTTCCCTGGGAATTTATTCATTGAAGAATCTGGGTCATTTGATCTGTGAAGGTTTCCACAATCTGTATTTTGCTGATTGCCCCCATATGGTTTTGTTTACCATGTTCCTCTGTTCTCTGCTTTAACCTGTGGAATGGTAGTTGCATTGGAGCAGTGGTTTTCATTGGTGTGTGTGTGTGTGTGTGTGTGTGTGTGTGTGTGTGTGTGTGTGTGTGTGATTTTATGCCTCTACCCAGGGACATTTGATAATGCTTAGAGACATTTTTTTTAATTTTTACAATGGAGTGGGTGGTACTACTAGCATATCCTACAATGCACAGGACAGACCCCTACAGCAAGGAATTATCCAACTCCAAACATCATTAGTGCTGAGGCTGAGAAATTCCCATCTAGAAATCTGTTGAGGTTCACATTCAATTTTTTAAATTGTGTTTGGCAAGATTGTAAGCAGTGTGATATTTTATAAACAGGCATATAACAACTGGCTATCTCTTTTTTTTGTGTGATTTTAGCAAGCTTTGATGCTCAATGCCTAGATTAGTATTTGCAAAATAGTGATGTTATAATGCTCTAATTTCTTTTTCATTTGTTAGTTGAAATATTTATCATTTGGTTAACCAGTGGTATAGTTCATTAAAGAAAGGAAGAATAAAAAAGGGAAACCCTATGAATGTAAGCACTGTGGATTAAGCAACTTCCCCCACCCCAAAAAAAGCCCCAAACTCAGGCACAGACAGCAGTATGGTGATTACCAGAGGGAAAGGAGGATGGAAGCAGGTAGAAGAAGGTAACGGGGGAGGTAATAAATGGAGATGGAAGGAGACTTGAATTGGGGTGGTGAGCACACAATACAATATACAAGTGCTGTATTATAGAATTGTACACCTGAAACCTATATAATTTTATTAACTATGTCACCCCAATAAATTCAATTAAAAAAAGGTAGAATAAATACTTGATTTTCCCCTTCATTTAACAGTTTTCAAGATAATTGGTTTCCTGTTACTCTCCAAAGGCAACACAACAATAATAACAATTATTAATAATATTAATATATTATCTGTGTACCCTATGCAGGTGCTGATACCATGTAGGTACTGTGGGTACCAATGAGTTGTCCTTTCCTTCTTAAATTGTCTTCTAGGACTATCTTGCTACCTAGTTTGTAATAGATGTTGTCCATGGGTTTTTTGAGTTTGCTGAGTTTTTCTGTCTGGCTTTATGGGGGAGATTTGAGCAAAGTAAAAATATATACCATTACTGCCATTATATATCCAGAATCCCTTACATTTATTTGGTACCACATGATTGGGATTTAAAGACTTTTCCATTTATTTTAAGCCTATGCCACATGGACAAGTATTTACTTCTGAAAAGAAATCAAATCAAGGTCATGAAAAAAAGGATAGGCTTTGAAAGTAGGCTCCATGGCCAAATCTTTATTTCTGTATTCATTACATGTATGCTATTGGATGTATTATTTAATCAGTTTGGGCCTCACTTTCTAATCAGTAAAGTAGGGCGTAATAATATCTGCCTTATAGGGTTTAAGTGCAGTTAAAATGAGATAGCACTTATTTCTTCAATTAATTCAACACTTACTGTCTGTCCTGTACTAGGTACTATTCTGGATCCTGTGTAAATATCAGTGAACAGATAAAGTGCTCTGTTCTTGTGAAATTTTCATGTGTAGGGGTAGACAGAGAAACAAATGCACACGTATAAAATAGTATGTCTGATGGCGAGAATTGCTATGGAGAAAAATAAAACTGTGCAGGCAGAAAGAGCATGTTGCAATTTGCTCAGAATTTAAATAGGGTGGTCAGGGAAGATTTTATTGGAGAATTTTAATAAGAGGGTGAAGAAGCAAATGGTGGACATCTGGATAAAGAGCATTCCAGGAAGAGGGAATAGCAAGTGCAAAGGTCCTGAGGTGGGCGGCTGAGTACTATAGTAAAGGAAGAACAACGAGGCTAATGTAATTCAAGTGGAGTGAGTGGGGAAATATAGTGGCAGCTGAAGCCAGAGAGGTATCTGTAGGGAGGGTATTGTGGGGTCTTGGATTCTGAAAGGACTTCATCTTTTATTCTGAGTGAGATAGGAAGTCATTGGAGGGTTTTAAGCAGAAGAATGACATGACGTACTCTTTCAAATGATTATTCCAGATAAATGTTCCAGCTCTGCTCCATCCTGGCTGATGATCATTGTTTCCTGGTGGCTGTGCTGCTTCTTGTGTCGTTCTGCGATCTGCATAGGTGGTTGGAGGGGTAGGAAGGACTCAGGGAGACTCAGGATATCTAGAAATGGAGTCATTGGTCCCTGAAGATGTGATTATAAAGTTCACCTGGGAGGAGTGGGCTTTACTAAATCCATCACAGAAAAAACTCTACAAAGATGTAATGTGGGAAACCTCCAGGAACCTGGCTTCAGTAAATATAAAATGGGGAGATGAGACAAAAAACCAGGGGAGAAAACAAAGAATTCTTAGGTCAACAGAAATCTGTGAAAGCAAAAAGGTTAGTCAGTATGGAGATAATGTCAGCCTTATGCCAAATATCAATCTGAACAACAAATTTGTTCTGGAAGTAAAACTATATAAATGCAGGATATGTGGGAAAATCTTCATGGATCATTCATCTCATAATAGGCACATTAGATGGCACACCAGATATAAGCTCTCTGAGTATCAGAAATATAAAGAGAAACCATATAAATGTAACATATGTAGGCAAGCCTTTAGTTCCCCTTGGCTTAGGAAAATACATGAAAGAACTCACAATGAAAAGAAAACCTATAAATGTAAGACATGTGGAAAAGCCTTAATGGGGCTCAGATTGCTTAGAAGTCACATGATCACACATACTGTAGATGCTCTTTGTAAGCAGAAGACATGTGAGAAAAACTTTAGTTCTTCAACTTCTCTTCAAGAGAGAACCCACACTGGAGAGAAGCTCTCTCAGTTCAAACACGGTAGAAAAACCCTCATAAATTATCCAAGTTTTCAAATACATGAAAGAAGCCACACTGAAGAGAAACGCTATAAATGTAGTGTTTGTGGGGAGGCCTTCAGATATCGCACTTCCTTAAAAAGACACAAATGGATTCACATAGCAGAAAAACCCTATACATGTAAGGAGTGTGGAAAAGCATTCAAACAAAACTCTTCCTTACAAATACATGAAAAACTTCACACAGGAGGGAAACCATATAAATGTCAGCACTGTAGTAAAGCCTACAATCACCGCAGCTCCCTTGGAGCACACATGAACATACATACTGGGAATATTCCTTACCAGTGTAAGGAATGTGGAAAAGTATTTGCTCGCCTTAGTTGGTATCAAAGACATGAACAAATGCACACTGGAGTGCAACCCTATGAATGTAAACAATGTGGTCAAACCTACAGACGTTATAGTTCCTTACAAATACACGAAAGAAGTCATACAGGAGTGAGGCCTTTTAAATGCAAGGAATGTGATAAAGCCTACGCTAGTAATAAAAACCTTCAGATCCATTTGAAATTGCACACTGGAGAGATACCCTATAAATGTAAAGAATGTGGTAAAACCTACAAAGATGATCGTTCCTTTAAAATACATGAAAGAAATCATACAGGAGTGAGGCCATTTAAATGCAAGGAATGTGATAAAGCCTTCATTTCTAGAAAAGTCCTTCGGATGCATTTAAAAGTTCACACTGGAGAGAGACCATATGAATGTAAAGAATGTGGGAAAACCTATACTGATAGCTCTTCTCTTGAAAGGCATATGAGGACTCACTGAATATAACCTAGTAAATCTAAATAGTGTGAGAAAGACTTCAGTTTGCTCACATCTTTACATGAAAACTCCCACAGAAACTTAAATAATCTGATAAGGCTTGACTAAAGTTAATTTATGTATACTGTTCCAGAAAACATTTAAGGTTAAAGGGTTGTTATTAAAATTGTAAATAGTTGTGTTAAAATAAGTAAAATGCTTATCCCAGCTGCTTGAGAATATAGTGGGGCAAGAGCATCATCAAGGAAATTAGGCAAGAGATAAAAATGGTGGTTTAGTCCATAAAGTAGTGAGAAGTGGTCATATGCAGAATGGTCACATTTAGAAGTAGGGTCAAGAGGAATTGCTGAAGAATTGGGTATAAGGAGCAAGAGACAAGAGGGTTCAAGAATGACTCCCAAGTTTTTTTTTGTGTGTGTGTGTGGGAGCATTTGGCTTGATTTAGCTGTTATTTACTAAGATAAGACTATGGGATGAGTTAGTTTTGGTGGGAGTAATAGGAGTTTAATTTTGGAAAAGAAAGTTTTGAGATGCATATTAGATATGTCAATGGAGTTACTGATTTGGCAATTGAATATGCTAATCTGAAGTTCAGGAGAGAAGTCTGGGATAGAGATCATATTTGGAAGTCATTAATATAAAGATAGCAAAATAAGATGATCAAAGGAGTGGGTTTAGATAGAGAAGAGATGAATTCCAATATTTAGAGGTTGGGAGATGAGAAGGAACCAGCAAAAGATATTGAGAAATTGACATTAGTGAGATAGGAAGAAAACCAGGAGTGTCTGGTGTTCTGGAAGGCAATGATTTTTTTTTTTTTTAAGGAGGGAGTGATCAACTATATTAAATGCTATTGTTTGTTTCAGAGAGATCAGTTCTGAGAATTGATCATTGAATTTGGCAATGAAAGGGCTGTTTGTGGCCTTTATAAGAATCCTTTCAGTGGTGTATGTAGGGTAGGGTGGGGGTGGGAAGCAAAAGCCTGATTGGTGTAGATTTAGAAAGAGAAATGGAAGCAGGAAGAGTTTTTCCCCCAAAGATTTTCACTATAAAATGGGGCAGTATCTGGAGGGGTATCCAAGGCAAGTGTTTAAATATTTTTTATTTCAAAGATAAGTGTATTTACAGAATGTTTGAATACTGGTGAGACTGATTCAGTAGAAAGGGAGACTTGATTATGTCGAGGGAGGAGATAATTGCTAGAGAAATGTTCTTGATTAAGCAAGAGGGATGGGATCAAGTGTACAAGTGGAGGATTTGGCTTTTAATCAGCAAGGACAGCTCATCCATTGTATCAGAAGTGAGTGTAGATCATAGAAAAATAGATGTAGGTAGGTGGATAGAAGGCCTGGTAAGAGCCCGTGGGATCATGTGATACTTGTCTTTCTCTGACTAGCTTATTTCATGTAGCATAATACTCTTCAGGTATCTCCATGCTGTCTCAAAAAGTAAGAGATACTTCTTTTTCACAGCTTTCTAGTATCACATGATCTCACTTATATGTGGAGTTTAAGGAATAAAATAAACTAATGAACAAAATAGATCCAGAGACATGGAAGCACGTAACAGATAGAGGAATCTCAGAGGGAAGGGGGGGAGTGGGAAGAGTTTAACCAAAGAGGGAAGGAGGGAGTGGGAAGAGTTTAACCAAAGAGGGAAAGGGGGGGGGGGGGGGGAAGAGTTTAACCAAAGAGGGAAGGGGGGGAGGGAGCGGGAAGCATTA